TACAGTATATATATGCCTATATATACATTAATATATATATATATATACATTTATATATATTCTAATATATATATTAAAATGTAGTTGTTGCTTAGCAACTTGTCTGTTTGAGATCTGTCTCTTATACACATCTAGATGTGTATAAGAGACAGATATATGTGTGTATGTATATATGCATATATAAATAAATAAATAAATGAATGAATGAATGAATAAACGAATGAATTAATGAAAGAATGAATGAATGAACGAATGGATGAATGAACGAACGAACGAACAACAAACAGACAAACAAATAAATAAACAAACAAATAAGTAAATAAATAAATAAATAAATAGATTAATTAATTAATTAATTGTGTAATAAAATGCCCCTGACGGGACTTACACCTCCGACCTTCTCGCTGTTTGTTCGAATCCTGTCAGGGGCATTTTATTACACAATTTCTTTATTTATTTACAGGACAATACCGTATTCGTTGAGAGCTAAGCTATGTATTTATCATGTCCTTTATTCGAACACTGTATTTGCCTTTCCTTGATGATTCATACACACACACACACACACGCACACACACACATACACACACACATATATATATAATATATATACTGTCTCTTATACACATCTAGATGTGTATAAGAGACAGATATAGGCCTATATATATAATATTTGTGTGTAATGGCTATTCAAACCCAAGTTGATTTCTATCATCACTTAGAATACGTGGATTATTGGCATCGATGTATTATAAAACAAATTATCTAATCCATAACAATGTGTGCATAGGAAATTATGCTTCTTAAAAGGAGGCACAAATTTTATAAATCATATTATACCTTATGAAAACAGTAGATATTAGTGGTTTATTAATATATTTTCATGCTTGAGTGTTCAATTAAAACTCCGGGATTACATTATGTGCCTACTTGGTAGAGGTTCGAGTGGCCCGCATACATTTTCAAATCAACTACATTATCAGGTCTAATCTCATACGGTTTGAAATCGATGGAGCGCTGTATGAAAAATCCCCGTTTCATTAATGGTATTAGATTCAAATGCCATAGTCGTTAGCTGTAATGCAAAGTAAGCAACATATATAAATTGGAATAATATGTTACTGCTTCAAACAGTGTTATTGATGGATTAAACTAATGTGCATCATTACAGTCATGATAGGTATGTTTTTACACTCTTGAAATTGTATTCTGTTATGAAAAAATATTTGTCGCGAGTAAACTAGATTGTACCAAAGCTTGGTTTACACGAGATTAATTATGACACGTGGACGCAAATGCAGGCAACGCACTACTACGCATGCACCTCACCATAGTCCGTATTTCCAGTGTGAACCCACTTGAAATTAATCGAGTGTTGCAACCGCTGTGTTAGCTCTCAGTTCGCGCGCACGATCAAGAAGATCCTCTCTTTCACACAATGAATGAGTTACAGTATTATTAAGAGCAGCGTCTACCGTTTGCCTCGTCACACGAGCACGCCTGATGCGTGCTCGTGTGAAAAAAGCTAAATGGCTATTATAAATAAGGCTACGTGTGCATTACAGCCAATCACAGAATTGATAATCCGAATGTTTCATTTTAACAGGCATGAAAAGCGGATTATGGATACAACCTTAAACTTACTCCCATC